CTGGGGGTGTCCATCCCTAGGATATGGGCTTAGCCTGCAGGAGGTGAGGCTGGCCTGTGTAAATAGCCATCCTGGTGAGGACAGAAGTGTGGTCCTTATTCAAAAGTGACCTGTGGGACGGGCTGGGGATTTAGCTCAGTGGTTCTGCTGCCTGCCTCGTAAGCACAAGGTCCGAAGTTCGATCCCCAGTACCAAAACAAAACAAAAGTGACCTGTGGGAACATTCAGCTGAAAACACTAGGCTTGGGCATCAGACTTGCACTTTCTCAGTGTTTATTTCTGTATTGTTGGAAGTGTTTATAATGAGCACAGGTCTTTTATAATGTGTGAAATAAGTATAATGAGCCACTGTGATGCTGGCACATGACCATCTTCTGAACAGAGAATATGCAGCCCAAGGTTTTACTCAACTCTTGCACAAAGCCTGGACTCGACTGATTGCAGGTTGGCATAGTGTTGCCAGTGATAGAATACTGCAGTGCTCAGCATGCCCACCAAGGACAAAGACCTCTTTACATCCCATATCACCTTTATCCCTGAACTCCTTCTGCCATGATCGAGGACTCTGGGTTGGGGCATCTCAAGTTCCAACCCACTCAGGCCAGCTGCATCAGGCCACACCCTGTAGATGAGGAATTTGGGAGACCTAGTCGTGAGGCTCTCAGAAAAGGGCTTGGCAGGTGCCCAGCCTCACCCTGTTGCCTCCCAACCCAGTGGTTTAGTGAGCTATCTGTGGCCCTGTGGGTTTGTGTCTGGACAGGACCCTGGAGATCTCCAAGAAGGAACTGCATCACTATCAGTGCCACTCACCCGTGAAGCCCATCTGCTGGGCCACCTCCAGCTAGGCGGCCAGGTGGCTAGGTCTCTCTCACACCACAGTGACCCCTGCTGGCTTTGGCCCAGTCACAGTCTGTTTTCCCATGTTGCTCACTGCCCTTCCCACATCCCTTGCTGGTCCTCTAGCTGACCATTCAGTATTGTCATGGGTACCCTTGGCCACCTCCAGATCTGAAGTGTCCCCATGAGCAAGAAGGATCCTGCCACCTCCCCCTCCTCAATCCTATCTCTGTGGGTGCCTCAGTGTCCTCATGACCTTGTCCCAGTGGTGGTGGGGGCTGCCTCCCCACAGGGCTAGCCTCTAGGGACAGAAGTGAAGGACACTGTAGGGGCACAGGGAGCAGTGGAGGGGCCTACAGACAGCAGGTGAAGCCTGCAGCACCCAAGACAGGAGAGAGGTCAGGGAGGTCATTGAAGCAGGGCTCAGAACGCCCTGGGCCTAGGCCTTGTCAGCAAGGGTTAGAGAAGTCCTGGGAGGGGCCTCAACATTGTGGATGGAGGCTCAGCTCTGCCTGGGAATTGCTGAGTAGAAAGTAACTCTAAGCCTGTCTGGGTGAAGATTAGACATGTCAAGAACTGTAAGTGGGCTCTTCCTGTGTCCTAAAAACCAGATCTGATTGGCCTGGCACTCCGAGGTCCCTCCTGAAGCCTAGCATTTACATGTCCTGTGTTGTGCTTGTGTGTGGTATGTCATGTGTGTATGAATGTGGTGCATACTACATGTGTATGTCTGTGTAGGTATGTCATTCAGCGTTTGTCACTTGTGGTGTGTGTAGTGGGATGCATTATGCTATAGTGAGGAAACTATGTACTTTGTGTGTGTGTGTGTGGTCTTGTACATGGTATGTTGTTTGTATGTATCAGGCAAGGGGTGTTGTGTATGTGATGTGTGTATTGTGTGTATCTGTCATGTTTTACATATGTTGTGCATTATATGTGAGATGTGTACATCATTTGTTTAGCTCAGTATTCTGTGTTATGTTCTGTTTTCTTTTCCTTTAGGACCTGCCTCCCCACTGGCTCCTGGACATCATTTCTCTGAGGCCTCTGCTCATTCCTGGAAAGAGGATGTCCTTGTTTTGTCCTCTCTGCTGTCCAGTGGCCGTCCTGGCAGCCATGGCCATGCATTCAACAAGGGGTGGCACTGGGCTTGTTGCATATGGCCAGGCTTCTGAACTGAGAGCTGTGAAAATGGTTTGAATGTGGCTTCTCCCTCTTGGGGGAGGACAGGGTATGACACAAAATCACTAGCAAATAGTCTTACAAAAACCTCAGGAGCTAGCCAAAGCACCCGCCTGTAATCTGAGCTACTCAGGAAGCTGTGGTAAGAAGATGCAAGTTTGTACCCAGCCCAGGCAACTTAGTGAGACCCTGCCTCAAAATAAATAATAAAAAGAGGATGTAGCTCAGTGGTAGAGCACCTCTGAGTTCAATCCCCCACTACCAAAAAATCAAAACAAAAAAACTCATGAGTTTCCAAACTAAATTCCAGACCACAGGGAACCTTCCAATGGGCACTGGTGGAGGGAACCCTTCCAGAAGGCTTAGATTCTGGGAAACACAGGTCCTCCAGGTGAGCCTGCACTGGGAGCTGCATGGAAAGTAACTACACATCTTGGGGCAGGTGGGCACAAGTCCACGGGCTCTCTGAGCCAGTACTAGGTGTGTTGCATCCCCAAGGCGGTGTGTCCAGGATCTCAGATCTGGAGTTGGCAAAGTGTTTACAAAATAATACGATCAAGTAAACGTGATTGTGAATCTAAGAGCAGAGTCCCTGGGTGTTGGTTACAGGTTTTGTTTTGTTGTTTGTTTGTTTGCTTGTTTGGTACCTAGATGAACTCGGGACCTTGGGCTTGAGAGGCAGGCCAGGCGGTGGAACCACTGAGCTAAATCCCTGGCCCTGGTTACAGTTTTCTTTCGCACTTTTTGTCTGAAATTATTCTAAGAAGTAAGTACCTGTGAAGGGGCTGCTTGGATGTTAGGGTCCAGAGTAAAGGTGGGCAGACCAGCCCCTCAACCCCAGAGCCCGAGAGGGCGAAGAGGTGGCTCCAGCGGTGACTGGGGCAAGGGCCTTCCACTCCTGACCTTGACTGAAGCAAAAGCCACCGCTAGCTGGGCCAGGGCACCCAGCCCTCCCTCAAGGGCGTTGGAGGCCCCGCCCACTCCCTACCAGAGCAGCGGTTGAAACCTCCCTCCCAGCAACCTAGCGCCGCCCTCACCTGGCGAGCACACTGGTGTCCCTACCTCGTGCAAGTTCATGTGCCCTGGGGCAGGTCTCGCAGCCCACCTTCCTTCCTAGGCACGGTTTTTGGCAAAAGGAGAGGTGGCCAGGGCCGGGAATGTAGCTCAGGGGCGCTGCGACTGCCTCGCAAGCTCAAGGGTCTGAGTTCGATCCCCAGCACACACAAAAAAAGGCGAGATGGCCGAGAATAAATGGAAATTCCCTCCCCACAAGCCACAGTGAGCTGGCTGCTGGGAACCACTTGCAGCTGCCCCTCAACGCCTACAGGCAGAATGACTGCATTTATGGGCATCCCCAGTGCTGGCAAGCCCCCTGATGCTCCTTGGCTAGTCCTTCCTGGGCCAGAGCGGACACACTGCATGAGGTTGGCCAGCCTCGCTGCCCACACGGGGACTCTCCCCTTTTTCCCTGCTGAGTTAGCTGCCCACCCTGGTACAGGTAAGAGGCAGGACACCCCCCCCCCAAAAAAAAACCCCAAAAAACAACTTGGTTCTGCCAGGGAATTCCAGGTGACTGTGGAGGGAGTCTCTCCTTCACAGCCCAGGGTCTGTGCAAGGCAGCTGCTGGAGGACAGAGCTGGGCAGAATAAGAGTAGAAAGCAAAACAGTCTCAACTTCCTGGGTCCAGCCTTGCCTGAGACCCACCATTTTGACCCTCAGGGATCCCTGGCATGTGTGAGGAGCAGCACGCTCACGCTGAGCAATGCTGCAGTGTGCTGCGGGGTGCTCATGTGAAAAGGAACCACAGCACCCTTATATGCAGTTTCACTCTGCTCTGCTTGTTACCAGTTATCTGCTGGTGTCCAAAAATACTTTGTGTTCAATTTCAAGAGCGAGACAACATTCACATAACTTTTATTCCAGTATATTGTTATAATTGTTCTTTTGGAGGGGGTTTAGGTGTTGGGTTTAGGTGTTTGGTTTGGGTTGGGGTTTTGTTTGGATTGGTTTTATTTTGTGACAGGGTCTCATTATATAGCCCAGGCCAACCTCAAGCTTACCATCCTCCTGCCTCAGCCTCCCAAGTTTTGGGATTAGAGGTGAGTATCACCATGCCCGGCTCTGTTCTGCTTTACAATTTGTTATTGTTGTTAATCCCTTACTATGCCTGATTTATACATTAGACTTTACCATAGGTATGCGTGTGTAAGAGAAAACCTGGTATATACCAGGATTGTGGATCTGTGGTTTCAGGCATACTGGGGGCTTTGGAGAAGACTGTGCTTGCCACTAAAGTCCTTGAGGGGTCTGGGGCTCACCAGAGGGGAACTGTGGGGCCAGACTGCATGTGCAAGGAGGGCCTCTTTAGGGATGCTCTCGCAGCCCCATGATTCTCCTACTTAGGAGTCCCCTCTGCCTGTCATCTGACTTTTTCCTCTTGTGAGGGAGGAGTCAGCAGGTGACAATCAGATGGAATTAAGAAGGGAGGGTGACAGCATGACAGAACTAATTGCCCATTCACTGGGACAATTATCTGAGATAAAGGCTCAGAAATTTTTCTAAACCAAGGGCTGGGATAGGACTCAGGGGCCCTCTTAAAGATAGGCTTTAAAGAAAAACAGAAATTGCTGTTTACACTGGGAATTCATGAACCTCACTCGTACATCCCCCTCCCATTTTCTGCCTCTAATAGTTAAAACACAAGGTACAGGAGCACCCATTCCACACCCCACGCTCATGAGTCTTATGTCCCTGGCCTCTCTCCTTGCCCCACTATCTACATGCTCAGGCTCTGAGTAGGGTCCTGGGGCCCTGGCCTTCTGGGAAGTGCGTACCAGATCTGTCCTGACCTCATAGCCCAGCTGAGGCATTTGGGAATTTTTCTATACCCCAAAGCTTTGTGCATTTTTAATTAAGTTCCCCAAAGAACTATGTGACATTTCGACCAACAGAAACAAAAGGAAAACACAGCACAACAGAACAACTTTGGCTGAACATTTTATTTTTGTCAGCGTTATCACACTTAATAAGTTTAAAGGAAATTAACTTTATTGACTTTTTTTCCCTTTTTTGTGGCACTAGGGATGGAACCTAGGGCCTCATGCATGCTAGGCAAGCACACTGCCACTGAGCCACACACCCAGGCCCAGGTGTTTGGAAGCACTGTGGCTTGGACCCAGTGCCTACAGACACCTTCAGCTAGCACTCCTGCCTCCAGCATCAGATGGAAAGTCATCTGCCTGTGTAAAAAGCAAGGTTACGCACAGAGTGTTTGTCCACCTGTAAGGAAGACTTTAGGTGAACAAATCTTCATTCCCTCATTTCCCTATCCCTCATCCTTCACCTTCAAGCAGGGCTGCCCTGGGCCCAGGCAGCCCGGAACACAGGCAGGCAAGCACACGCCCAGATGGCTGTCTCAGTCCCATTCTGTACCCTCAGCCCCAGGCAGACCCATCACAACTGTCCTCTTCAGCTCCTACCTCAGTTCCCAGCACCAAGATCAGCCCTGCTAGAACATCTCCAGGGCACTCGCAAACTTACTCTCTTACCCTACAATATTCAACCCCCTCCCAAAGCCCCCAATCCCCAGACCCAGTCAGGAGCAAGGAAAGCAGGAGGCATTGTTGGTCAGGATGCAGGTGCCATGGTGCCCGTGCTGGCTGGGAGAACCTAACTGCTCCATTTTCCCATGCCATATACCTCTTTAGGCCAGATCCTCAAAGAAGTATATGCATAGGAAAAAGGAACAGCAATCAATTCTGCCGATGGTGGCTCTTCAGAACCTGGAGGCACCATCCAGTGGGTAGCAGGCGCCATCAACCTGTGGATGAGAAGTGGGACCCCGCCCAGCCTGGGCTGTCCCCAAAGGCTGGCCGAGTCTTACCTGGGCTGCTGGGTCCTTGGTGAGCTGTGTGGGTCTCTGGAGAATCGGTGGAAGACTCCTTGTCTGCTGCGAAGTGGAGTCCTGCTGCTGCAGTCCCAGTGTCCCTTTTTATACACTGTAGAGACCTTGGCCAGCTGCTGTTCCATGTGGTCAGAAGGCTGCTGGTGCCAAGAACCCCATCCCACCCCCGCACCTACAAGGCTGGGGCACAAAGACCTGCTCTGAACAGGCGATGGGTGGGCAGCCAGGGCCCCAGGGCCAGAGCTGGCTGCTCTCGTGGGAGCTGGGACAGGGCCAGCCCTGGCTGGCTGCCCCTCGGCACTTATCTCCTGATGTACTTCTGCTTGCGTCAGGGCCTGGAAAATACATCCCGAAGAGAATAGCTCCTACGGGGCAGGGGAAGCAGGCCATCTCTCTCCCTCCCAGGCCTGCCCAGATCAGCAACAGCAATCTCCGGGCTAGGCTCTACCAGACACCAGGCTGTGAGACCCTTGGACCCTAATGTCATCACTGTCCACTGTCGAGGGCACTAAACCCCAAATCCTTACTCATGGAGGCTTCCCTGCTTGGGCCTATGGTGGCCTGTGTTTGGAGGATCGGGTAGACAGTGGCAGAAGTAAGAGGCCCAGAGGGCCTTCTGTCCGCCACAGCTTTGATGTGGGTTTGCTCTCCTCCCAGAGCCCCCAGGAATGTGGAAGACAGGGCTTTGTAAGTTTAGAGGACAAGACTGCAGGACTAGCATGGGGAGGGCACCTCAGAGATAGCTTACAAACATTCAAGGTTGCCCACAGAAAGACAGACCTCACAGACGAGACACGGCTCACCAGGTTGAGGGGCCCCAAGAAGGGCAACTGAGCTGCTCATTGCACAAGAAAAAAGCCCAGAGTGGTCCTGCCTCTGGGAGTCTGGAGGTGTTGCCCCTGCCCAGTAGTGTCTCCCCACAACATGAAGCTGATGAAGGCCAGCTAGGGAGCAAGGCCGAGGACTGTGTGCCTCTCTCCCTGGCCATCTGTGCTGGCCTCTCAGCCTGATCTGCAGATGCGGGGTCTGTACAGGGCACAAACACACAAATACACAAAAACAGAGAGATAGAGATGCACGCACATATACACACAGAGAAAGACACAAAAAGACACTCACAGACACACACATACACCTCCTTGCCCAGGCCAGGCAGCTCAGATCCCACAGTAAGAAGTAGATGCCTGGTCAACGCTGGCCAGAGCTGGGAACAGCCTGATCCATAGGGCAAGTGTCCACAAGGAGACCATGCTCCTTTGCTCTGGGACTAGCTATATCTGAGTCTGTGTCTGTGACCCTGCATCCTCGTGTCTGTCTTACAGCAGCCCTGGAATGGCTATCCCGCTACCTGGGGTTAGGCAGGTACTGCTCCAGCCATGCAACTGAATCTCCTACAGGGTGGGCAAGGCCAGGGCCCATGATAGTGGACATATACAAGGGAAGCCAAGAGAGAAGGAGATGGTCCAGTATCTCCTAAGAGACCCCAAGAAGGAGCATGGGCCCCACCGGGTAGGATGGGGTAGGTACCTGAGAAGCTGTAGATCCCGGGCTGGCACCGAGGGCTTGGGTGGGAGGAGCTCCCAGAACTCTCGGTGATGACAACCTGCGCCCCCACCTGTTTGCTCGCCCCTCTCCTCTGGGAGCCATCTCTATGTGGTGGACATGTTGACCTGCACTTTAGGCCATGAGGATTGCCAATGGCAACAGTGATGGTGCAGAGGAGAGTACCCAAGAGGATCAGTAGGTCAGGAGCTCTGGTAGGGACATGGGAAAGTGGCCTTGTCCAATGAGTGGACCCTGCTATGGGGCCTGGGCTAGGGACAAAGGGGCCTGTGGGATCCTTTCCTGGGGAGAGGTAGGAAAGCTGCTTTACAGAGGAGGGTATGCAGCCTTAAGAGCTCAAATAAGCTCATGATCACACACGTACTCACAACCCCAGAGAAAGGATCCACCGCAGGGAGGGGTCACACTCTATAAATACCTGGGACCTAAAGAACCTTGCCAGGCACAGTGGAACACATCTGTAATCTCAAAATTCAGAAGGCTGAGGCAGTAAAATTGCTGCAGGTCTGAAACCAGCCTGGGCTACATAGTGAGTTCAAGGGCAACCTGAACTGCATAATGATATATGGACTCCAAAAACCAACGAGAGAGAGAGAGAGAGAGAGAGAGAGAGAGAGAGGCAGAGACAGAGAGAGACAGAGACAGAGACAGAAACAGAGAAGGAGGGAAGGAGGGAGACAGAAAGACAGAGAAACCGAGAGGGAGTCTAAAATCAAAATTCTAGGGCCTGTGTATGTTCAGAAGCACTACAGAGGCCTGTCCTTTTGAGTCTCCATCCAGCACTGGCTCCCCCTAAACTCCCTCCCAGGCTGTGGTATCATCCTTGACCTTGGGCTGTGGCCTCGGCTTTACAAAAACGATGGAGGTAAGAGGCAGAGAGCCAGAGAAGGCAGACACTGAGACAGAGAGACTGTGATAGAGGAAAGGAGATTGAGAGAAAGAAACAGAGAGGCAGAGACACAGAAAGACCTTGGTAGGGACAGGATTGGACTTTTCTAAAACATCATCAATTTCCTTGTTTTTATTAAACCTTTTTTCCAGTCTATGGAACTAACACCACTAACTATAAGGCACATTAAAGTGCAGAAAGGTCTACAGATAAGACAAGGTAACCTGTGGTGTGGATGTGAGGAAGATGGAGGCTTGTTCTCCTGCCAGGCTGGCCTCGGCCCCCCAGCTGGAGCCTGGGGAAGTGAGAGATCGGGTGGGAGGATGGGCCCATCTTCTATGTTTTCCTCAAGGCTACAGGAAGCCAAGGAAGATTGTAGAGACAGGCAGTGATGAGGGACGTGCTGTTTCAGGAGCCTCCCTCTGGCTGTCTTGTGGCAAGGGTGAAAGGGAGATGATATCTGAGGGACCAGGAGCTGAGGGTGAGGGGAGGTTCTGGTCCCAGCTTGGATTTACTAGACATGATCCTTGAAGAGCCCTGGAACCCCTCAGGGTCTCAGCCCTTTTGGAATGCTTGCTTTGTGGATTCTGTGAGGGGAGGGGAGGACTCTGGAGCTCTGCTCCTGAGAGCTGACTGGCGGGGTACCAGTGGATGGACTCTGGCTTCCTGACAGGTACACCTGCACTCCTCCCTTGCTCTGAGCTCCTTCATGACTCCCCAGTACTTTGCGTGGACCCCATGCCTGTGAGCAGGATTGCCATGACCCTGGTGGGAGCCCCTCCCTACATGTTCGATGGCTGCACAGCCTGACCCCTGCCTTATAGGTATATTTTCCATGTCTCTGGGACCACAGCTGGATCACAGGCCCCGGGAAGCCCCCAACCCACTGACCAGCATGGCCCACACACGGTGTTTCTCACAGCAGCAGGGGCTCAAGGGCTGCCAACCTGGGCTCCATGTGCCCCAGCAGCACCCCCACACCACTAAACACGCAGGCCAGCTCTTCTTGCTTGGGAGACAGAAAGTATCCTTGTGGGCTTGGGAGGACATGCTTGGCACAGAGTGGAGGCCGATAAGGGTGGCCTTCAGGCCAGCTCACTCACTCCTTGTACTCTGCACCTTCCAGAGCAGAGGTGGGGGCGGGGTTCCTGTAGCTGTTTTCAAAAAGTAGAACCAGCTCCCAAGGCAGCTCGCCATTGCCCAGCTGTAGTTCCCACAGGCATTGCTCACTCCCCCACTTCAACACAAAGACCTCAGTCTCTGCGCTGGCTAAAGTGTGAGGCAGGGCCTTGCACCCCACCTGCCCTGCATCCCCATGTGCCATGTACCCCACCCTGCTCCTCATCCCAGCCTTCTCTGTACCCCACCCTGCCTTGTTCCCCAACTGCCCTGTGCCCTTGACCTCTCTGGGGCCAAGATCCAGGAGTCACAGCAGTTCGCTTGAGTTGTTATCCTCTGGCCCTAAGGGTAGGTGGGACCAGAGGCTGCTCCTCACAGTAGCAGGTGACTACAGCTGTGCTGGGAATGTCACCTCTTTTAGCCTCAGTTTCCCCAGTCTTGAAGGAAGTGCTGGAAATGGCACAACCCCTCCAGGGTCATAATTTCCCAGTGTATTGGTGGTTTTACTCCTAGATGTGTGCCCAAGAGGAGTGAAATCACTGGTACCCACAAAGACTCGACCTCGTCCTCAAGCTAGAATCCACTCCCAGGCCTTCACACAGGAGTGAGTGTAAACCACAGAGTCCTCCACAAAACAGGCACACATGTGGTCTGGGTGCCCCAGGGTGGTCCAAGCACCCAGGTGACAGGAGGCCAAAGGAATGTATGTCCTGGGAGGTGCTGATTATGGGCTGCACACATTTGTCAAACTCCTGTGATTGTATGCTTGAGGCCATTCATTCCATAGCCTGCAAAGAATTTAAAACTGACTTCAATAAAAAATAAAGTAAAATTGGGCCGGGGATTTATCTCAGTGGTTCTGCCGCTTGCCTCGAAAGCACAAGGACCCGAGTTTGATCCCTGGTACCAAAAAACCCAAAAAGAGTGCAAGGTCCCGAGTTTGATCCCTGTTACAAAAAAAAAAAAAAGTAAAAAAGAATTTAACAACAACAACAAAAAAAAAGTAAAATAGAAATGAAAAGGGGAAGCTGCACAGCAGAGCGGTGGGAGGTGCTCTCTTCTGAGGCAGCACAATGGCTGACCTTGTAAAGCCCTACCTTTAACACGGTACACATGTTCAGATGTGAATCTCAGAGTAATCTGGATAATTTCTTGGCGTAATATGTCCCATGAAATATTTGGGACATATTGACACTAAAAATTATTCATTGTTTATCTGAAATTTGAATTTAACTGGGTGTCCTGGATTTTTACTTATAAATCTGGTGGCTCTACACCCATTTTATGGAGAGCACAGGACTTGCAGATGGGGAGCTAGATCAGAACCTGTGCTCTCGGCTGGGGAAAGAAAGGGCACCATGGGAAGCCCCCATGGTCTGGGGGCAGCTGATGAGCCAGCAGCACCCTAGGCTAACCCCTAGCTCCTGGAAGGGGCAGCTGAATTGACCCTGGGTCCTGGGTGGCACTGCCCTGCGTCAGGGCTCTGTTTCAAGGCTGAGCCTGACTCCCTCTGGGGAGCTATCTCTGCTTCTTGATATTTTCTTTCTTTTCTCCCAAGCCCACCCTGCCATATCAGCAACACTCGCTGGGCCATGGGAACGCTCATCCGTCCTCCAAGGCCGTGGTGTCAG